TTTTTTTTTTTTTTTTTATAGATGTAGGCTTGCTCGGCGAGTCCAAGTGCACGCGCGTACTCATACGAAAACCAAAGCTCTAAAATTTATTCTCATTTTTTTTTCTTCCTCCATTTTTATGCGCATTTGTATGTATTTTGTTTCTCAAGATAATAAAATCCAAGATCTCCCGATTGGACGTTTGAAATGTAGATGTTATTGTACGTGTTAGCAATAATATTGGTCGATTGCTCGTCCGAACAAGAGAGATATCATTGAAAACGTACATGGGTTCAGGTATTTGCTGATGAAGCTGTAATTGGTCATTATTTTGGGTATTTAAAATACGCTCCTGTGAAATGAATCAAACGAAAAATGGACTTTCCTATTTTATTTACGCTTACTCTATACCGACTCGGAAGAATTATAAAACTGATAATCAACTAAGGCCATTTTAAAAAAAGTTTTATATTATTTAGTATTCTTTTCCACGGTTCCACTTTCAGACGAATATTGTGTTGCAGGCATCGTTAAACGTTTATCAGTATCAGAAAAAAAAGTAGTTGTATCGTAGAATTGGCAATTTAAAAAAAAGCACAAGACCCTAATTAAGAGTCGAAATATGGATTGATACTATGGTAGAATTGTTGAAGTTACTCGGCACGTGTTCAGAAACGATCTAAATACTTTTAAAACATTTGTATTATGAGTAATAACCAGTTCTGGTTTCGTCACTGTTGTTGGATATAAACGGACCAGATAATGGTAATTTGTTAGCTCAAGCACATTATGAAAAAGTACCACCTCCCATGTATGAGTTACACATCGGTTGATAAATTACTGACATAAATTAACATCGAACGCATTATATCCGTTATAAATATCCATAATTACCGGCTTGGATATGTTGTTTTATTATTAATTAATACTCGAATAGTAAATACACCTTCAAAACAACATAAGGTACAGAAAATAATCGTCATCCTGAAAACCAAAGGATTCCTGTCGCGCAGCGACGCACGAGGTATTTAACGAGCCGATGAGCATGCAGGTATAGGGAGGGGGGATAAAAAAACATCTATAAGATGAAAAAAGAAAAGAAAAGAAACAAAAACAGCTTGAAAGAGGGAAGGAAACGATGGGAACGTTAAAAGGTTAAATTGGCGCGTCGGCGTTGCGCGCCTCGTGAGAAGGAGATGAGGATCATCGCGGGAGGTCGGGAGCCCGGGATTGATGGATATGCATCGGCAACCCGAACGCACAGTTCGACGACAGCGACTGCCGCGACCCAATCTGTTAAATATAATAAGTACACCCCGCTCCCTTCGGCCGCTCGTTAACGCCTATACAGTCCTTCATCTTTACACGCGCTTTGGTCTGCAAAGTACGACGTAATGTTAATTAAGATCATTTTTTCAGCTGTGAGAAATTTATAGCGACAGACATTTCCCCTTCAAAGTATTTTATAATTTAATTACATTAACTAATGATTCATCCATACTTGTAAGGGATGAATAATCAATATTAATCGCATTGTTGGAACAACTCTTTGAACATTCACTAAATTAATTCATATTCGTGCAATACACATCGTATTATAAATTGTCTCGAGTATTTGACGATTTCGTATACTCGTGTACCTATTGGTGCTGTTGTTTTGCGTTACGAGACCATATATCCCAGCGGAGGTGATTGCCCTTTCAATTATTGTGCGCTGCTGCTCGTCGATGATTGATAGCCGTGTGCTATATAGTCTCATATTACGGTATTGTATCACATACCATAAATTGTTTCGAACGAGAATTCGAGTGAAAGCGATGAGTCTTCGATTTTTTTTTCCCCCAATGTACTTCCAAAATGATTGAAAAGATTTTACGAGCAAGTTTCTATGGATTTTAGTCCATTAAACTGTGAATGTAATCCATTTTTATCACTCATATTTTATTTCGACAATTGTAGAGAAGAACAAAAATGTAACGTCATATTTTAGGTTGTGTATCTTCTCAAGTTTTCTTTTAGTTTTTACCATCTAGGATCAGCCTCATAACCTAAGAGATCCAAATGATCGTGAGTTGAATCCGTCAAAAATTTCAATAAAAAAAGCGAAACCTAGAAACACCTGTTAAGCTATTATCTACTTTTTAAGATGAATTGTAGATTTTTTCGAATTCTACTTATTATATAGTGTATTCTGTGAATTAAAAAAAAAAAAAAACGTAATACTTTGTCCAACGTGAAGTAATTTTTCTTTGTTTCCTCTTCTGTCAAGGTAACAACTTTATGGCCAATTAAGTAATCAATTTTACATTTAACAATGAGTTATGCCATTTAAAGCGTTACAACTGCTTTGTAAAGTAAAATGTTTATGAGAAAAAATTGCAATATTTCAAGATACACAATTTTTTGTTTGAAATTTAGTTATAAACAATTCTATCACAGTACTATGGTAAAATGTCAATTTTTCCGCTGTTTTCATTTAATCATGGTCGATTAAGCGCATTTATTATTTTAGAGATCTGTAACTCTTTCCCACCGAGCACACTTGTGAATATCCATTTGCCAAGTTGCTATGTACAAGATGGAAACATTTTTTTTCAAAGATCAGTAGTAGAAATGCTTGGAATGTTTTCTTCTCAACGCAGACTCCGTGAATGTAAACCATCCGGGTTCTAGTATGAAAATAAAGCTATACTTATTAGACACAAGCTCGGTCGAAGGTAAATTATACCAGTCCTCAATGAGTTTGAAAACTCGATTACGTGCGTACACATTATTTAAATACCTCGGACCAACCTTGCATTAAGTTGGAAATTTTTTTCATCCCGCGATCAATAGTCTTTTAGGTATATATAATTACACTTTATGCTCGTTAAAAATCTTTTTAAAAAATAGAGAGACACGACATATTTAATTCCAATCTTTGATATTTAGCATTCACAAAGCACCCCCCCAAAGTACAATTATTTTTGTAAGGTGTTTTTACATACACCCCCTTCTAATAAACTAAAGAAAGTTGTACCCCATCGTAAAAGGCATTTTGTCAAATTAGCTGCTGGGGGCATTTATTTGTTTCCCTCCATTCCCACGTACTCCCGAGATTCGATAAATATTCCGGGACGACGATGTCGACGTATCGAAAATTTGCCATCATCAAGCTAGACGCATCTCTCGAACAACAATAATAATAGAAGTATATATCGTTGAGTCTGAGTAACAGGTTGCGTCATCGTCACGTGCACATCATCGCCAATGAAGAAAAAAAAAAAAAAAAGACGTAAGTAGACGAAGGGGGACAATTGACATCGCGACGTGGCAAAATCGTTATGCTAATCATCTCGCGGAGCTCGTCCGTACGGCGAACGAGCGAGCGAGCGAGCGAGAGAATCCCGAGAGTTACTGGCCGCGAGGTGCTCACGTATATATATTTTTTTTTTCTCGGAGGAATCGTGAGAACGATACACACACCGTCGTCGTCGCAGCTTCTCTCGCTCTCCCGGATGATTTTATTTCGTTGTCAAGAAGTAAAGGCTCTCTCTCTCTCTCTCTCTCTGTTTCGCTCGCGACTCTGTTCCCCAGCCGAGCAGCTCGACAAAGAGAGAGAGAGAGAGAGAAAGACGTGGCAGGTAAAATCGCCTTCTCCCCGAGCTCTAGGCCTTTCTCCCTCTCGCTCTGGCTCACAGCAGCTACGGCAGCGCAGCAGCAGACACGAGGGGGAGAGTTAGAGTCATATATTAGAGAACTCTTGGGGACACCTAACAAGCTGCCAGGACACGTTTCCTGGAATCAGACTACGACGACGCGCTCCTCGTTCTCTCCCTCCCTCGACTCTTCTCAGCTGCAAGCACAACACACGTGTATTATGTGTATATACATACCTATGCAGGTACACGTGTGTGTGCGCGTACAGCAAGCAACCCCTCGGAGAAAGAGGAGGAGGAGGAGGAGGAGGCCCGTCCTTTGCCCCTTCCCTTTGTTCTTGCGAGCGCGAACGAGAAGAGGAAAAAAAGAGAGAGAGAGAGAGAAACAGAGGCGAGGCTGCAGTATTTCGCATTATGCTGGCGCGAATCTGCGGATTTTTAGGAATCTCGCCCCCTTCCACCCCCTGGCCCCGTGTGCCCATACATATGTATATGTATATATAATATACAGCGTCGTGGCTTTTACGGCTCGGCATTCCGCTTTTATCGTGCCCCACCCCTCTTCCCCGAGCAATTTTACGTATTCCTCTTAGCCAGGGTTTTGATTTTTTTGGCTCTTCGATGCTTGCACGGCTTCGCCCTCGCGATCATTTTTTTTTTTTTTTTCGATTTTTCCTTTTGCCGCTGACCAAACGACAACGAGGAAGAAGATGTATGCGCAAAACCCCGCTCTCGAGGGTTTCACCCACACGTGCACACACACACGTACACGCCAGTAGAGCGTACACTCAATTTGTCAAACTATCAAGATCGCCTTGTTCGTGCTGCGGCGAAAGTCCGATCTTTGGCTATTTTTAAGCTTAATTAGATTCCGGTGCTGCCGTCGCCTCGACGCAAAACAGTATATTTTATCGCACAACAAGTTAAAATTCAGGGGAACGAAAGAAATAATAAAAAATAAGAAGGAAATATACATGTATGTCCCAAGTTTGGTGGCGCGCAAGCCGAACAAGGAGTATATATATATATATATATATACCGACGCAGATTCCGTCTCCAATTAATTATTTATTCCTGAACGCTGGCGCATATATATTTATATATTGTCGAAAGACGACACACGGCGCCAAGTTTCTCACGGTTTCACTATAGGCACTCCGCGTGTATTCGTCATTAGTACCCATGTCATTTTCGTCTCTGTACAAGAGTTGTTTTTGAACGCCTTTTTTTTTTCTTTCGCAAAATTTTTACATGCCAAGATTTGAGGCGTGTCGTAACACGGAAACTCGTGGATCGTAGTCATTTTTCTTGCCCCTACGTGCACTTTTTCGTGCCAAAGGAAGAAAAAAAAGGAAGAAGAAAAGGAAAAAAAAAAAAAAAAAGAAAGAAAAAATCACCCTATAGAGGTAAATCTTTGAACTCGGCGAAAAACGAGGAGGAGAGGGAGAACGATCTCTGCTCGATCGCCGAAGGAAAAAGAAGCGCATGCACAAGTATAGAGTTGCCCCTGTATACACCGGAGGTCGGCTCCCGAGAGTGGAGAAGAAGAAGCGATCGAGAAGCGAGGAAGACGAGGGGGTTGACAGTCGCGGAATGCGCGCCCCTGACGTCGTTCCACTCTTTCGCGAGAGGTATACGTGTGTGTATGTGTATATGCACACGCCGCGGCTTCGTGGCAAAGAGAGGTTG